GTGAGTAGCTCCCAAGGGTAGACTCCCTCCCTGACATCTGATGCTGTTGGAGTCACTCAAGGATTTGGACTACTTGCACCCTAGGTGACCAGGGTGCAAAGACAGCTGAGAGTCTTATTAAAGGAGAGGATTATGAATTTGCCACAGTTAAGGGTGGTCTTTTTAAAAACCAGGTTAGGTAGGAGGAGAAAGACAAACACCATATGATTTCACTTATTTGTGGAATATAAAAACAAAGCAAAACAGCAGTAGACTCATAGACACTGAGAAGTGACTCGTGGTTACCAAGGGGGAGGGGTTGAGGCTGGGGGGTGCAGGGGAGGATAAGGGCCGCAATAGTTCCCAGTCACAGTAGAAGTTGGTCATGGGGACACTAGTACAGCTGGAGAATATAGTCAGTGATTCTGTAACATCTGTCTGCGTTGCTAGACAATAACAGCACTAGAGGGGTGAGGATTTAATAATATGGGTAACTGATGAACCACTGTGTTTCACATTTGAAACCAATATAAGACTGTATATTAATGATACTTCAATTTTTTAAAAAGGCTAAATAAGCAGCTACTGAGTTAATATGTGTAAAAGGACCCAGTAAGTGATGATATAAACATTTATAAATACTGATATGTTTAATTTGGTTTAACAATCATTTATTGAGCACCAGTTATATGTAAAGCACTACAGAGTCAAAGACGTGTCATACCTCTATCCTCAGAAGACTTTACAGATTCAGTATTACGGCAACATAGAAGTGGGCACTTCAGCAAGCCTGAAGGAGCTAGGAAAGGCTTTTCTGCAGGGGAGACCCTGGAATCTTAAGGCCTGGGCAAGGATCATCCAGGTGCAGAGGGGCTGAGCGAAGATGGACACGGAATGGTGTGGAGTGTGTGCGACTAGGAGCGGTCTGACAGCGCTGGGGCCCAAGTGCAGGGCCGCACGAAGTGAAGGCGGATCAGGGGCCTGGTGCCGGGCCCTCTTGCACTTTGGCCTGAACGAATGGAGTACTGCTCAAGATTGCTTATCCTGGGAACCAGAGCTGAGGGCGAACGTGAAGTTGGGAGGCAGGAAGGCTGATTACGGATTGGTTGAATGATCTAGGAGATAATGAGAGTCCATACAAAGAACGTGCCAGATGCATCATACAGGCCATATTCCAGGGGAAAAATGAAGCTATTGAATGATGATGTCTGAGGGGGAGGGTCTCCTGGTCTAAATATTTCCCCCATGCCTGGCATTTTTACCTTCAGATGCCCCTTCTGTAGGACCTTTCAGAGTCCGCTGCTAAAGTGGAGCTGGTCAGTGCATGTTAGTGTCGGCCAGCTTTCGTTAAGATGGATTATGAAAGCGTACAGGAGTTTAAAAGGCCCTGCAGGGGTGGGCAGGGCTAGTCATAAGGGTACAAGCTAGGCACCCGAAGCAAAAAAGTTTAGGCTCCTAAAAAAGGGAGATAAAGAAATTTCATATGTCCCCATTTTGGCTTGGCTGCTACAAAATCCATTTTCAGTGAGCTTGGGTGCACTGTTCCAACTCTTTTGTACGAGACACTTAAGTCTATACAAGGATAACAATAATAACCATAAAACAAACCCTAGCAAAGAAAGAACTGCGACTTCTGAGCTAAGGAACACCACAGAGGGACAAGTTAACCCAGAAATAGTGTCTTCAGAAAGTTGCTTAGAAATAAGGTCATCTGGGACCTTTCCCCCACGACTAGAAGTGTAATCTTGGCTCCTGTGTTTTTATTTCCAGTAAGTATCATGTTTAACTTGGAAATCTGACAAATACCAGAACCCCTGCCCCATAGTTCACAGTATTACTGGGAGGATCAATGGAACAGAAAGAGGCGAAAGCTTCTATGTACTGTGAAGTGCTACCTGAGGGCACAGATGAGCAGCCCCTGGGGCTCACAGGGGGAAAGAGGACAGGTGGCATTTCCATGCCACGGCTGTTGCAAGGACTGCTGATCACTGATGGGCAGAAAACCTCATCCTTCAAATGTTGACAAGTAGAGACATTACCTTAAAAACCTTCCCTAAGGATTAAAATTAATGCACATCGCGAATTTAAAAATAACACCTAAAATGGGACATTCATATATTTTCAACAAATGAGCTCTTTCTCTAAAAACAGCCACTATAATGAAACTCTTGCCACAAATAAACATGTAAATAGAGGAATTTATATATGACTAGATTATTAGAATCATATTAGGATTAGGAAAGGATTAGGTCATCTCTGAAGACCGCCTTCCCAGCCTGCTGTTCTTCCCCACTTGAGGTAATGGTAGAACCCAGATTAAACGTCATATTTCCTGTCTCCTGGTCTAAGGCTCTGTTTTCTATCTATTAATTTTTAATAAAATACTTCAAACATAAAGAAAGCATAATAATACGCATATTTTTTAAATGTTAAGATCATATGCTTCAAATCTTTAAAAAAAAAAAGCAAGCATCATACACAAGCAGATGATCCCCATCCCTGTCTCCGACCTCTGCCTCCAGGGGTGACCACCACATGGAGGCTGTGCTGTATTCCATCCCTGCCGCTCACATTGGCATACACTTGCCAAAGGATTATATATCCATAAACCATAAATTACACCGTGTTACCACCGAAAGAGCTGATCTTTGAAACAATGACTAGTCCCTCAGTCTAGTATGTTTGCATGAAGTTAAAAACCTTCAGTGTTCAACTGGATTCCAAAAAGAAACGGGCAGAGCTTCAAGTCTTTTTTTAGCGATTACCACAGAAGGATCTAGTGAAGTGTCTTATTATTTTGAGTGAAAAATAAATTGGGTGAATCTAAAAACGCTTTATCCAACTTGTTTTTATCCTCAAGTTAGTATTCCATCTTTGTGAAACCCTGGTAAAACACCTGTCACATTAGGGAAAGACGGATTGAGCAATTTAGTGATAATAGTTTTCACTTCTGCTTCAGGCCCAGCTTAAATGCCACCACTTTAAGGAATCTGTCCTCACCCCATCAGAATTAATTCCTTCAACAGTTATTTACTGAGTGTCAAAGCCCTGTAGACACAAAGGTAGATCGCTCCTAGTTCCTGCCCAGGGCTCAGAAATAATTACACAATCATGTTTGATAGGTGCTTTAACAGTGGGATCCATAAAGCGTTAGCGGAGTCACACTTTTCCTGAAGCACTTGGAGAAGACTTTACAGAGGAGGTCAAAACTGAGCTGCATCTTGGAGGATGAGTAAGAGTTCACAGAACAGAAGACAGAGGGCCATTCCAGGTAGCGAGACGTGGAGGGTACGAAGGATGGTAAAATACTAGTTTTAGAAAGACAAACTAAGGATAGACATCAGAGGAAGAGGGTTAAGTCAAAGACTGTCAACAATTCAAGCAAAAGATGACATGACTGCAGGCATGAGGTGGGAGGGAAAAAGATTTTCATAAAATTCAGGGGATAAATTTAGCAGAATTCAAGATGCTTGGTTGTATGGGGGAACTGGGGATGACTCCCAGAAACGTGGCAAATGAGTGGGCAGCGAGGCCGTGAACCAAAAAGGGAAACAGTGTACAGGGGAGAAGGCATTCAAATTTCCTCTGAGTGGGCAACGAGGCCTCTTTCAGGAGGCCTTCAACTATTCCCTTCCTAGGCCAGAAATCATCCCTTCCTCTGAGCTCCACACCATGCTTTATACCTTTCTCATACCAAATCATATACATCTGCTCTATTTACAAGTATTTCCAAGTTTGTCTCTACTTCAATCACGGAGGAAAGGCACTAGGTCCTGCCGGTCTGTGTACTCTCCTAATCTGAGAGCCTTATACACAAAAAGCCTTCAGTCAAACTGCATTCTTGAAAAGGGAGTTCCATCAGATACTAGAAACTGCCAGGTGAAATTTATCAACAATGACCCAAACTTGTGAGTGAGTGGCTTACAGAAAACATCCTAAGTATTTGGCCCAACGGCACCTATTTTCAGCTCCCTTTGTGCTTATCTTATCTTACTTTAAAACAACCCTGAAGGGCAGTTGTATTCCCATTTTACAAATAAAGCCACAGAAGCCCACAGTGTATGAATGACTCTCCTGGGGTCACAAGGTTTGCAAGTGGCTCATCCAGGATTTGGGCCCGTAGGTCCCCTCCCCATTCTGCCTGCCAGAGGCGGGCCGGCCTTTCTGTCTTCATTCTCCGCTGGGCTGAGAAGAGCACTTCCTTCGGCTCCTGAAGGACCAGGACCCTGCGCATCAACGGTGACTGGAAGAGGCTCCCGCGGCCGAAGCGCTCGGGCTCCCAGGAAAGCGCCCGGAGGCACACCCACTGCGGCCGGCCGAGCGCAGGGGCTCCCGAGGCCCAGGCGTGAGCCGCGGCCCGGGGACGCAGCCCTTGCAGGGCTGACCCCGCGAAAGCGCGCGGGCACGTGACCTTGCGCTCAAGCGCTGTCAGCGCTCCCGGGTCCGCCGCCCGGCCCGGCCCGGCCGCGGCCTCCGGCCCCTCGCGGGCTGGGGGTTCTCAGGGATGAGGGGCGCCCCTGGACCCTCAGACTCGTCCTGTACATTCTTCCGCAATCCGAGGGCTGGGCCGGCCCGGCTCGCTGGCCCCGTTCCGCAGACCTGAGGCCGAAGTCGCGGCGGGGAGCGGCCCTGCCTGCGGGGGCGGAACCGGCCCCGCGAACCCCCGAGAGGGCGCAGGAGGCCGGCGGCGGGCCGGCCAATTAACCTCACTCGTTGCCTGTCCCAGGCCCTTGGTCCTGCCCCCGACTCGGGGCAGGTTCCCGAAGGCGAGGAAGAGGCCAACAGAGCGGCCTCGAGGGGCCCCGAGGGCGGCGGGAGGGAGCAGCCTCGGCCCGCGGCGTCCGCCTGAGGCGCGAGGGCTCGGGGCCGCCCCGCCGGCGGAGGGGGCGTGCCCCGCGCGAGGAGGTGCGAAGGGCAAGGGGCGGGCCCATCCACGAAGCCCTGGAATGCTGATTGGCTGCGCCCCACGGAGGCGTGAGGAGGGGGCGTGTCCTCACAGGAGTCCGCAGGAGCCGACCTGGCGCGAGGGAGGGGAGGGCGCTTGCGCGGGCCTGGGCACCACCACCTCCTGCTGCGGGCAGAGGGCAGGCGTTTGGGGCCGGGACGTCGGTACTTGAGGACTCCAAACATGGCGGGATCAGAGTGGAAGTCCTTGGAGGAGTGTTTGGAGAAGCACCTGCCACCCGCAGACTTGCGGGAGGTGAAACGCATTCTCTATGGCAAGGAGACCAGGTCTGGGGCCCATAGGCTGGGAGGGAGGGGGTGGACTTTGAGGCCAGCGAGTGTGGGTCTCAGGGGCCGGGGAGAGTGCTTCAAGATCTGGAAAGCTCTGGGGGGTTGGTGATGAAGTACTGAGTCGGAGAGCAGAGACCATAGAACGTCTAGATGTGAGGGCTGTGGGGCCCTCAGGGGTTGCACAACCCTGGAGTGACCTATAAGCCACTTGTCTCCCAGTTACCCAGAACCTGAAGGGAAAGGATGGTTTTTGACTTTCCGGGGCTTTCCCTGTGGCTACCCAATTCTCCTTTCCTGCCTGCAGTCACCAGCTGCGTCCTGTGAGTGTCTAGGTCAGTACCTGCAGCTAGAGCTCCCAGCCGGTTAACGGATTGCCGGGTCCTAGCCCCTCTTTCCTGCAGTGACTGGGCCTCTGGTGGACCCGCGAAGGTAGAGGCTGCCTGAATCTGGTTGGTGAAGGAACCTCCTTTCCCACTGGGAAGCCACAGAAGTTAGCTACCTTGCCCAGTGCAAATGTTTTTCCATCACTGAGTTGTGGGCATTGCTAAGACTCTCTGGGGGCAGTACCCTGCTGGACACCCAGTATACAAAGCTGGAAGATACTTCCCCTTCCACTCTTGTTTCTTCAGTCCACTTTTCTCAAAGCAACCAGAAAATGTAAGTCATATCCTGTTGCTCCTTGCTTAAAACTCTGTAAGGGATTCCCATGGCCTTTAGAATGAAGCCCCAACTCTGATCCCATACAGCTCCTGACCAAGTGTCTCTCCACTTCACTGCACATTGGCGGGCTTCCCCAGCTCAGCCAGACTGTGCTCCCTGACCTTGTGGCAGTGATCTCCAGGCAGGAACCTATCAACTCATCTGAAATTTGTGGGTGTTGATTGCATCAGTGGCTTCCAGCCACCAGCTGCTGCGGAGTTACTGCAGGGAGGCCAGATCTCAGGTCCGTGTTTTCACTGCTAGTGGACAGTCAGGGTAGAACAACTGCCTTTGAGGGTGGACGTGGTACAGAACTTTGTTGAAAAGTGTTCTGCATCCCCTCCAGTATGCTCATGCTAGACTATTTTCCACCTCCTTTTAGGGAAGGCTCGCTAGTCTTTTAGATTTGAGGCTCCCAAAAAAGATGTCTTAAAGCAAGGGGCGTCTTAGGCTACAGTTCTAGGGATGGGAATAGGTTTGTTTTAAGGATGAGGTGGGCACATTCTCCTGGGAAAAAGATGGAGATTGCTTGTGGGTGTCAGGGAGAGGTAACACACAAGAGTCTTAGGAAGAGTGAAAGAAATTTCCCGGGTAGGTGACTGGCTGAAGCACATTCTAGAGATCAGGGTAAGGACTACCTTGCAAGAGGTGGCATTTGGATCACTCCAGAGTGGGGAGGCGTTATTATAATGGGAGGTAAAATGGGAGCCAAGGTCCACTGACCAATGACCGCCAGACCTCATCCTGGGACTTGGCTCAAGATAACTGAGTAAATGCCTTTCCTTTTCCATTCTTTTTCCTATTTCCCTTGGTTGTGTTCCAGTCAGCACTGAACCCTTCCAGGCTTTTACCTCTAGGGTATAAACGTTCTTACTTGTTCAGTCCTTGTGATTGGGTGGGATTTGGCTATGAACAGGCCTGTGAACTTATGAACTGGGGATGGAAAATTGTTGGTCATTTAAAAACCCTTCTGCTTAAACCCTGCTCGCCTCTGACAGCCTGACTCGAACACGGCCGCCTCTGAGAAGGCCCGATGGAGCCTGAGCCCTCAGCCCCTTCTCTGGACTTCCACTGAGCTGTACACAAGACCACCTGCTCTCCCAACTGCTTGCTGTGCCCAACACAAAGGCGATGTTTAGTGAATGTTTCCTAAGTGAATGAGCTAAATGGGCCTTTGCCAGACAGATGAAATCCCTAAGGAACATTGACTCTCAGTTTTAAGACTGCCAGAACCAAGAAGCACTCATTCACTCAACAAACATTTATTGAGCATCTATTTTTGTCTTGGGTATTAGGAGTGCGAGGATGAGTAAGCCCTGGTTCCTGCTCTCCAGGGCCTTTCCGTCTTATGATGGTTATTCTACATTGTGAAATAGGGATGCCAGGAGAGCTGGAGAGAGTACGCGTATGGGGGAGGGGGAGCAGGGCAGGAAGGCTTCCCCGTGCCGCCATGCTTGAGCTGCATCCTGACGGCGATGAAGGAGTTGGTTTGGAGACAGGATGGGTTCAGGTTCTCCAGGCCGAGGCCCAGATACTAGAGGTTATGCCCTTTCGGGGACTGTGGGTGTAGACTACTGCGGGGATCACCCAGGAGGGGAGGCAGGAGTCGCCAGCATGGATCCCAGGCGCTCTGTGTGCCATGCGGAGGCAGTGGGCCTTGTCCTGGCCGTGGTGGGAGCCTTCAAGAATCTGCAAAGGGCAGGTGACAAAGGAGGCGGCCTAAAGAGTGCGTGGGGGGCCGAGAGGAGGAAGGGTTTTGGAGGTCAGGGGCAGTGTGGATAGCCAACAGGCAGAGGCGCTGCTGCTTCTGGCTGGGACCTCAGGTGGCTGGGGCCCGCCTTCTGTTGACAGCAGCTTTGGGGCAGGCTGGTGAATCGAACTGGGGATGCTGTTTAGGGCTGTGGTAACAAATTACCACACACTGGGTGACTTAAACCAGAAGAAATCTATCCTCACAGTTCTGAAGCACAAAACCAGGGAGTCAGCAGGGCTGCCGTCCTCCAGAGGCTCTGGGGGAAAGTCCTTCCCTGCCTTTTCTAGTTTCTGGCAGCAACCGGCGCTCCTGGGCTTGTGGCCTCGCCGCAGCCTCTGATTCCGTCTCCACGTGCCTTCTCCTCTTCTCCCTGTGTCCCTCCTCTGGGCATCTCGTGTAAGAATACTTGTCACTCGCTGGAGTTAGGGCTCACCCGGATAATCCAGGGTAATCTCACCTTGTGATCCTCAATTACATCTGCTGAGATCCTTTTTCCAATAAGGTCCCATCCACAGGTTCCAGGTGTCAGGACGAGGACATATCTTTTGGGGGCCACAATTCAACTCACTACAGGGACTGTGCAGAGGTGGGCTTGGGATTTTTCTGGAAATGGTCGTTCCAGGTGGAGGAGTGGGCGCAGAGTGGGAGAGGCCCATGTTAAAGGGGTCAGAGGAAGTGGAGACTTTGTGGGAGACTCAGAGGCAAAGACATGGGGATGGTGGGTATCGAGGACACTCAGCAGGACGGGGACAAGAGTGTCAGATTGCACAGGCAGGTCTAGAAGGATGAGGATAGCAGGGCGCCCCCTGGTTTTAGCAGCTAGAAGCCTGGCGGTGGTCAGGCAGTGGGGAGGGGGGCCCAGGGAACAGGGGCCTGTGGAAGGTGTGGGAGGGGAGGGCTTCAGGGAAGCTCCCTGCAGAGGGGAGGGGAGGGCAGGGAAGGGAGGTAACAGGGGAGGTAACAAGAGGGACCTGTATGGAGCCTGCTTCCCTTCATTTTTGTTCCTGTTTTTTTTTTTTTGTAGTGGGAGCGATTCAGATAGCTTTAATGGCGGATGTGGTAGATCTGTAGAGACAGATAGCCAAGCTATGTATACTGTTCAGTGAAAAGGGGAGGAAGGGGAAGAGCAGAATATACAAAGAGTCGTGGTATATGTGATGCATACATGCAGAGAAAATATTGGAAAGATACACGAAACATTGTCTCTGAGGTGCAGGACAGGGGTTTAGGGGTGGCATGGAAAGGGCAACTCATTTATCATTGGAGCCCCATTTCTACTGTGATTTTTCTTCCCCAGGAGCATGTGTTTCTTTTGTAGCACAGCTCTAGTTTAATTATTTAAAATGATGATGGTAAAGAGCCATTAGAGCAGGAAAGATGAAGTTCCAGAAGCCAGAGGTTGCTGAGGAAACAGGCCCTGGGCTCTCTGAGGCGAGGTCCGCCAGGACCCAGGTGGCAGAGGTGGGGGCTGGGGGACGGGCCTGGAGGGGGTGTGGGGCCAGGACAGGAGCTGGTGGACTTTACTCCATCAGGTTAGAGGTGAGGCCACGAGGGGTGGGGCCTTAGTGGCAGGATGAGGGGCAGAAAGCTATCTGTAAGGACCCGGGGAGGGTTGCAGGCAGCACGGAGTCCTGCTCCTTTGCTGGTCCCAGCCTCTCTGGGCCACGGCCGGCCTGTGTCCCCATGCATCCCCATGCCAAGCTTCAGTGGGCACAGCACTTGTTTATAGAATGGGACTCCAGGGTCGGTTGGGTTCTTCAAGACTAAGTGGGGCAGGAAGTGAGGATGGGTAACAGGAGGGCAGGGGTCTCTGAGAGGTGAGGGTGGAGGGCCTGGACTGCCTCGCTGGGGGCCTGGGAGAATGAGTGCCCGTAGAAAGCTGGGGGTGTTGGGCGGAGACCACACAGCATAGACAGTGAGGCGGCAGGGAGGTCGTGGTGGTGGTAGAAGATGGGGAAAGCAGCCAGCTGTGGGCAGGGGATAGAGAGAGACGGCCAGAGGCTGAGGGATGCCAGCGCTCACCCCCCCCCACCCCCGGGCCTCTCAGAGGGCGGTCCGCTTCCCGGCCCCCCGGCAAAGAGCAGACAGGCACGCTGAGCCCTCTGTCTTCTGTCCACCAGGCTGACTCACCCGGGGCTGAAGCCTGCTGGGGGGGTGGCAGGCTTCTCCTGGGGCCAGGGTCACTGCCTCTGAGGAGGCGCTGTGTGGGCACTGCTGCTGTTTCCTACCTGCGGAAGCACACGGAACCCTGACTGTTGAAAAGCAGGCTGATTGTCAGGGGTGGAACCCAGCTCGGAGCTGTCAAGGCTGTCACATGGAAGCCACCTGGCAGGGGGCGGCAACAGGGGGCTTGGGATGACAGGGCTGTGATTTTGAAAAGACGTTTTTAAGAAAGTGATTTAAAGTAGGAGAGAAATATTATTATTAGATAATGGCTGTCAGGTTATTTTTTGATGTGTTCGCTGAGTATTTCATAACCATCTTGCCCTTAGATGGTAAGGCCTTCCTGGGCCCCTGCCGCTTCACCTGGGTGCCAGCGCTCAACAGGTCTCAGGGGGCATTTGCTCTTTGACCAACAGTCACTTTGGTGGAAGGTTTCATAAATAATCCACTTGCCTTTGTTAATAAACCACAAACCAGGGTGGTTGCTTTTGGGCCTTTGGTCTGGACACCAGGGCCCCACTGAGTGCACCCAGTGTGGCCGTGGAACTGCCCCCTCCCCAGGCAGGGGCAGTAGCAGGGCATGGCGCTGGCGGTCACTGGAGATGTGTGATCCTAGTGGCAAATGGCTGCAGGACCCTCAGCAGTGCTATCAGCCATGGCCTCTGCTCCCAGCCGTCTCCTGAGCCTCATCCTCAGCAGCCCCTCTGTCTTATCACAGCCCACCCCACCCCCTGGCTCCACAGAGCCCTCTCTTTCTTGGCCACAGCCATTTTTGGGAATCCATTCCCTCTCCTCTGTGCTTACCGCCGATGCTTTAATCCCCACCCTGATTTTAGCAAAGGTAAAATATCAACCTCCTGACTGGTCACCCTGCCACTCCCACCCCGCTGCCCCCCTTTTGAGGCCTGACCCTGCCACCTCCCTGCTCAAGTATCCCCAGTGACTATCAGTTGAAGTCCACACTCAGTGTAGTGTTGGTTCTCCATCGGGCCGCGCCCTTGCTCTCCCCCCTCCTGGGCCCACACTCCAGCCCCCCACGCGTGGGCCCTGACCCTGGCCCCCTCTGTGTGCCTGCTTGCCAGAATGTCCCACCTCTGCTGTACCTGGTAAAAGGCTATGGGGAGGGAGGTATTAAATTCAGCAGACCTCATGCAAATCATCCCGCCTCTTCTTTTCTGCCCCTTCAGGAAGCTCCCTCTGCCCAGCCAGGCCTTGGTGGCTGCCTCTGCAGGGGACTTTGAGCTACAGGGACACGCCTTCGAGGCAGCGGAGGAGCAGCTGAGGGAGCCTCGGACTGTGCGCGTGGGGCTTGTTCAGACCAGAACCGCCCTGCCTGCAGACGCCCCTGTGATGGAACAGGTGCAGCCTCTTTTGACCATAAACACATAAACAGGGCCATGGCCCTCTCTGTGTTTTGAGCACGCGCGCAGTCTGGCTGGCTGCTCACTCTGGGTCCATAGGCGTCCCGAGCGAACACCAGACGTCTGGGCCCTGGCGGCCCCCCTTCTCCGCAGCCTGCATCTCCGGCTCCCTCTCTCCTGGCACCTCTGCTTTCCTGCCTCCCTCTCCCTCCCCACTGCTCCTTCCACCTTCTTGTCCACCTCCTCCCCTGCCACTGATCTGAAGTTCCAGTTACCAATTGGGAGGATGCCCTTTTGTCTGGCTTATAGGAAGTGGAGACTTTGTGGGAGACTCAGAGGCAAAGACATGGGGATGGTGGGTATCGAGGACACTCAGCAGGACGGGGACAAGAGTGTCAGATTGCACAGGCAGGTCTAGAAGGATGAGGATAGCAGGGCGCCCCCTGGTTTTAGCAGCTAGAAGCCTGGCGGTGGTCAGGCAGTGGGGAGGGGGGCCCAGGGAACAGGGTCCTGTGGAAGGTGTGGGAGGGGAGGGCTTCAGGGAAGCTCCCTGCAGAGGGGAGGGGAGGGCAGGGAAGGGAGGTAACAGGGGAGGTAACAAGAGGGACCTGTATGGAGCCTGCTTCCCTTCATTTTTGTTCCTGTTTTTTTTTTTTTGTAGTGGGAGCGATTCAGATAGCTTTAATGGCGGATGTGGTAGATCTGTAGAGACAGATAGCCAAGCTATGTATACTGTTCAGTGAAAAGGGGAGGAAGGGGAAGAGCAGAATATACAAAGAGTCGTGGTATATGTGATGCATACATGCAGAGAAAATATTGGAAAGATACACGAAACATTGTCTCTGAGGTGCAGGACAGGGGTTTAGGGGTGGCATGGAAAGGGCAACTCATTTATCATTGGAGCCCCATTTCTACTGTGATTTTTCTTCCCCAGGAGCATGTGTTTCTTTTGTAGCACAGCTCTAGTTTAATTATTTAAAATGATGATGGTAAAGAGCCATTAGAGCAGGAAAGATGAAGTTCCAGAAGCCAGAGGTTGCTGAGGAAACAGGCCCTGGGCTCTCTGAGGCGAGGTCCGCCAGGACCCAGGTGGCAGAGGTGGGGGCTGGGGGACGGGCCTGGAGGGGGTGTGGGGCCAGGACAGGAGCTGGTGGACTTTACTCCATCAGGTTAGAGGTGAGGCCACGAGGGGTGGGGCCTTAGTGGCAGGATGAGGGGCAGAAAGCTATCTGTAAGGACCCGGGGAGGGTTGCAGGCAGCACGGAGTCCTGCTCCTTTGCTGGTCCCAGCCTCTCTGGGCCACGGCCGGCCTGTGTCCCCATGCATCCCCATGCCAAGCTTCAGTGGGCACAGCACTTGTTTATAGAATGGGACTCCAGGGTCGGTTGGGTTCTTCAAGACTAAGTGGGGCAGGAAGTGAGGATGGGTAACAGGAGGGCAGGGGTCTCTGAGAGGTGAGGGTGGAGGGCCTGGACTGCCTCGCTGGGGGCCTGGGAGAATGAGTGCCCGTAGAAAGCTGGGGGTGTTGGGCGGAGACCACACAGCATAGACAGTGAGGCGGCAGGGAGGTCGTGGTGGTGGTAGAAGATGGGGAAAGCAGCCAGCTGTGGGCAGGGGATAGAGAGAGACGGCCAGAGGCTGAGGGATGCCAGCGCTCACCCCCCCCCACCCCCGGGCCTCTCAGAGGGCGGTCCGCTTCCCGGCCCCCCGGCAAAGAGCAGACAGGCACGCTGAGCCCTCTGTCTTCTGTCCACCAGGCTGACTCACCCGGGGCTGAAGCCTGCTGGGGGGGTGGCAGGCTTCTCCTGGGGCCAGGGTCACTGCCTCTGAGGAGGCGCTGTGTGGGCACTGCTGCTGTTTCCTACCTGCGGAAGCACACGGAACCCTGACTGTTGAAAAGCAGGCTGATTGTCAGGGGTGGAACCCAGCTCGGAGCTGTCAAGGCTGTCACATGGAAGCCACCTGGCAGGGGGCGGCAACAGGGGGCTTGGGATGACAGGGCTGTGATTTTGAAAAGACGTTTTTAAGAAAGTGATTTAAAGTAGGAGAGAAATATTATTATTAGATAATGGCTGTCAGGTTATTTTTTGATGTGTTCGCTGAGTATTTCATAACCATCTTGCCCTTAGATGGTAAGGCCTTCCTGGGCCCCTGCCGCTTCACCTGGGTGTCAGCGCTCAACAGGTCTCAGGGGGCATTTGCTCTTTGACCAACAGTCACTTTGGTGGAAGGTTTCATAAATAATCCACTTGCCTTTGTTAATAAACCACAAACCAGGGTGGTTGCTTTGGGGCCTTTGGTCTGGACACCAGGGCCCCACTGAGTGCACCCAGTGTGGCCGTGGAACTGCCCCCTCCCCAGGCAGGGGCAGTAACAGGGCATGGCGCTGGCGGTCACTGGAGATGTGTGATCCTAGTGGCAAATGGCTGCAGGACCCTCAGCAGTGCTATCAGCCATGGCCTCTGCTCCCAGCCGTCTCCTGAGCCTCATCCTCAGCAGCCCCTCTGTCTTATCACAGCCCACCCCACCCCCTGGCTCCACAGAGCCCTCTCTTTCTTGGCCACAGCCATTTTTGGGAATCCATTCCCTCTCCTCTGTGCTTACCGCCGATGCTTTAATCCCCACCCTGATTTTAGCAAAGGTAAAATATCAACCTCCTGACTGGTCACCCTGCCACTCCCACCCCGCTGCCCCCCTTTTGAGGCCTGACCCTGCCACCTCCCTGCTCAAGTATCCCCGGTGACTATCAGTTGAAGTCCACACTCAGTGTAGTGTTGGTTCTCCATCGGGCCGCGCCCTTGCTCTCCCCCCTCCTGGGCCCACACTCCAGCCCCCCACGCGTGGGCCCTGACCCTGGCCCCCTCTGTGTGCCTGCTTGCCAGAATGTCCCACCTCTGCTGTACCTGGTAAAAGGCTATGGGGAGGGAGGTATTAAATTCAGCAGACCTCATGCAAATCATCCCGCCTCTTCTTTTCTGCCCCTTCAGGAAGCTCCCTCTGCCCAGCCAGGCCTTGGTGGCTGCCTCTGCAGGGGACTTTGAGCTACAGGGACACGCCTTCGAGGCAGCGGAGGAGCAGCTGAGGGAGCCTCGGACTGTGCGCGTGGGGCTTGTTCAGACCAGAACCGCCCTGCCTGCAGACGCCCCTGTGATGGAACAGGTGCAGCCTCTTTTGACCATAAACACATAAACAGGGCCATGGCCCTCTCTGTGTTTTGAGCACGCGCGCAGTCTGGCTGGCTGCTCACTCTGGGTCCATAGGCGTCCCGAGCGAACACCAGACGTCTGGGCCCTGGCGGCCCCCCTTCTCCGCAGCCTGCATCTCCGGCTCCCTCTCTCCTGGCACCTCTGCTTTCCTGCCTCCCTCTCCCTCCCCACTGCTCCTTCCACCTTCTTGTCCACCTCCTCCCCTGCCACTGATCTGAAGTTCCAGTTACCAATTGGGAGGATGCCCTTTTGTCTGGCTTACGCTCCCTCCGGGAAGCTCCTGCCTCTCAGCCTCCCACCTGAAGACCGCCTGCCAGCACATACTGCTCAGGACCCGTGTGTCCATCCACGTGCTCCTTTGCCTTGATCCCAAGGGCAGGGGCTCACTTATACCCACACGCCTGTTAGCTGACGGCACTTGCAGGGTTGCTCTATTATGATAGGCTTACAGTGAATGTAAATGTGACAGCACCTGGTATTTCCCTCAAGAAACATGTTGCCACAGACATAGGGGATTGGCTGTATACACTTCCCAGCATTGCTCCCGCTGCCCAGACTCCCCAGGCCTTCTCTGCAGAGGTTTCCTCAGTATGCAGCAGGCTTGTGCATTCTTAGGGAGTCTCGAGAAGCCTAAGGTCAGTTGGATTCCAGGTCAGGGTCTGCACTGTTCTTCACTTTTGGCCCTTTCTGTGCTTTCGTTGGATTAAAAGATTCCCAGTTCTCAGTTCACTTTCTGTTGCTGGATTCGCTGACTGTGACTACGTCTTCTCGGCAATCCCAGGTTGCAGTTGGTGAGGGGCAGGGATGCTTTTCTCCCCCTGCAGCACCTGGGGACACACTTTGCACCCTGTCAGCACCCAGCGACTGTCTGTGGAGCTCCTGTGTGCACAGGAAGGGGAGAGACAGCGCATCAGAAAGAGCTGTGCTCTCCAGGACGTCCCCCTGCTCCCTCTGGTCTTTCCATAAACAAACACTTCTGAATGTATCCTGCCAGGTGTTATACTGAGATGGGGTGCTTTCCTCCTGCCCCCGAGGAAAGCATGGGGTCATGGAAGTGACAAACCGTGGAGGAACATGACAGCAATGGGAAGAGCACTGCTGGAGGGGCACACGTGGGCCAGGGAGGGTCGAGGTACCTCAGTACCCTCTGTGGGCAACATGCGACATGCATGATACACCCAGGGAAGATTGGGTGGAGGGAGAAGCACATTCCTAACAGAAGGCCCAGCTGGGAAAAGCAAGTCATTTGAAGATAAGATACAGGAAACTGGAAGTGTCAGGACAGGCATGACCGAAGCCTTGAGGCAGGATGGTGGAAATGGCCTGTATCTTGGGGTGAGGGAGCCCCAGAGATGGTTGTAGTGTACGGTGGGCCCACCTTGCAGTAAGCAGCACACGACCTCCTGCTGCCCTCTCAGCAACCCTACGGGGCAGGCAGTGTTCCCGTTCTCCAGGTGAGGGAACCAGGGCTCAGAAAGGCAGTGGAGTGTGTGTGGGACCCCAGAGCCTCTGCACCTCCACCTTTTATTGCAGATTTTGGACCTGATGACAGTACAAAATACCATTCGAACCCTGCCCATCCTGTAGCAGCTGGCCTGGTGGGGGGTTGTGCATGTGTTTTGGGATGAGTTCTAAAAATGGTCTCAACCAATAGAAGTACATGGGTTCTGATCTTTGCTTTTAAAATCGCCAGGTCTCCGCCCTTCACCGGCGCATGGAAACCATTGTAGAGGTGGCTGCGATGTGCAGAGTGAACATCATCTGCTTCCAGGAAGCATGGAGTAAGTCTCTCCTGGGGGTGTTTTCTCTGCTGCCTTCCAACAGTTGTGAATTATCTCAATGTCACCAAGAGTGCTACTCGGTTTTTTAGAATCTCCGTTTCTCATCCATAGAAAGGTTCTTCGTCAACAATACCAGGAACCCAGCTACCTTCCCTCCCCGCCCCCCGTGCCCCAGTCTGCTGTCTGGTGCTGTCAGCGCTCCCAAAGTGAAGCCGCGCACTTCTTCCTCCCCGCCCTATTCCCACTGCCCTGGCCAAGGCACCGTCCGCTCCGGGCTCAGCGTCTGTGATTGCCTCCTGCTGGTCTCCTTGTGCCCTCCACCCTGGCGCCCTCTAACAGGCCCTCCACACCCAGGGAAGATCTTTATGAAGTGAGACTGTACTACATAGCCTGTTCTTGCAACACCTCTGTGGCCTCATCTCTGCTGGCCTCTGCCCTGACCTCCCTGACTCTCCGCTCCGCCAAGGCACCTTCTCATGCGCCCCGGCCGTTGTAGCAGCTGTTGCCTTCGCCTGGCACGTGGCCCCTTCCCCTAGCTTAGTAAACCCATCCAATCCTCAGACCTCAGCACCAGCCCATCTCCGTATCTAAAGTTAAGTCCCTGCTATGTACTCCTGGTACCATGTACCTTTACTTTTATCTTTATCAAAGTTATCCATGCTCACGGTTTGGAGTCAAATGATGTAAAGGCCTGTTACTAAAAAATAGCTTCCTCCTCCCCAGAGGCAACTACTTTTTACTCTTAGCTGGCTCTTTATGAATTTACCTTTGTGTTGCTGCTTCCTAATTCTTCAGTTTTGCATCATCTCTTGACTCCCCACTATGGAAGAAGATAGAATCAGCGCCTTGTGTCTTTCCGATCCCTTTACATACATGTACATTTCTTGTCCCCCGTCCATTCTCGCGAAGCTATTTCATACACTTTGATTTCTTTTCCTGAATAACTTTCCCTGTTTTCCCTGGAGTCTGCTTTGTTTTCTACATACGTACCCCAAACTTTCTCCCAGATTTCTCAATCCCCTTAAGAGGTTTACACATGTGAAGCAGTGTATTGGTTCCATCTCCTGGGGGAATATGTCCCGGAGTTTTCTGACTGCTCGGGTCTGAATCAGTTGCCCACTGCGCTGGCCGCGTAGCAGGCATCTTGGGATTTTCCTTCACAATCATCCTGGGATGTCTCTTTTCCTTGCTCTTGCATTTATTTTATCCCACACCTTCCTTTTTCTTGCTTTTTGATTGAGTAGTCCCCTGAGAAACAACATATAGTAGGTAAACTCTTTGAGACCGCGCATGTCTGAAAATATGTCACTCCGGCAACTTGCTTGATAGTTTCACTGGGTATAGAATTCTAAGTTAGAAATAATTTCCCTTCAGAAGTTCCAACACCTTGCTTCATTGTCTTCTGGTTTTTGGTTTTGTTGTCTAGTCTAAGGCCATTTCGATTTAAGACTCATTAAATATGACCTGTTTATTTTTCTCAAAAAGGTTGTAGGATCTTCTTTCATACTTTAATACTTTGGATTTTCATAATGCTGTGCCATTGTGTTATCTGTTTCAATCCATTATTTTAGGCAGTCAGTGAGTTCTTTCAGTCTAGAAACTTCGGTTCTTCAGATCTAGAAAGTTTTCTTATACTGTTTCATTAGTGATTTTTTCCCCTGTTTTTCTTTCTCTCTTCCTGATACCCCTACTGTTAGGATGTCAGAACCCTGTACTAGATCCCTAATTTTCTTTTGTATTTCCTTCTATTTTTTCATCTCTTTTTCCACAATTATGTGATAGATCTTTTCTAATTTGTCATTCAGCCTTCTATTCAGTCTTTCATTTCTGCTGTCATATTTTGAATTTATGAGAGTTCTTTTGGTCTGAAAGTTCCTGTTTTCTCACATCGTGTTCTTGTTTTATAGTTGCAATATCTTCTCTTATCTCTGAAGATATTAAGTAACGTTTTTTTCTCCCTACTTTCTCCAAATTAGTCTCTTTTTTCCCTGATTGCTTATATTTTAAGAATTGGGGATTTAAAACATGATTGCAGTCTCTGAGTTTGTGGGAGGAGCCTCTCCAATGAGCTTCATGATAGGATGACTTAATTTAGCTGTTTGTTAGGCCATCCCCATTGTAGTGTCTTTGGGTCATTCTTTTCAGGCTGGTCAGGTTCCCCAGAGAAGAATTCTCTCACCTCCTGCAAAGAAGAGAAAGAGGGCAGGGCTCCAGTGTGCTGATATTTACTTAATGCCTTTGTTTTTGACACTCTATTCATTTTCATCTGTTCTGGCTTCCCCAAGACCAGAAACCCTCCTTAACTGTCTCCAGAGAATAAACTTCTATCTTTCTGCTGAGGTGGGAGGGAGGAGGGACTGGACTTCTGACTGCTTCTTAAGAAAACTTGCAACCGATCCTTCTTGTTTGTCACTCATCCCTGCACCCACCCTCAGAGCTATGCGGCGCCTCAGGCTCCTGACCTTTCGAGGGGTCTGTGGTAGAGAATGGGCTGCTTCTTGGCCTTCTGCCCTGCTGGGGGGACTGAGTTTTCTAGATCCACTAAGACATCTGAGCCCATTCCTTAGCTCTCCAGCCTCCCACATTTTGTTGTCCTTCTCTTAGTGCCTCATCCTTGTGGGTTTATACATTTGCATAAAAATCCCTTTAGTGTCATCTGGTGGGGTTTCAAAAAAGAGCAAAGGTGTGTGTCCAGTCTGCCATCTGCACCCAGAAGTTCCATTTAATTTTTTATTTTAAATTTATTTTATAGTGGTAAAAATATATATATACATTATATTTATCCCTTTAACAATTGGTAAGTGTACAATTCAGTTTCATTGAATACATTCACAAAGTTGTGTAACCAGCATCACTGTCTATACCCAAAACTTCCATCATCTTCAATTAAAAATTCTGTACTCATTTAGCAATAACACCCCTGCCTCTGATCATTACTGTTCTACTTTTCTGTCTCTATGAATTTGACTACTCCAGGTAACTCATATAAATGAATCACACAGTATTTGTCTTCTTGTGTCTGGTTTATTTCACTTAACAAAATGTTTTCAAGTACCATCCATGTTGTTGCATGTGTCCGAATGCCCTTCCTTTTTATGGCAGCATAATATTCCATTGTATGGATGGACCACATTTGGTTTATCCATTCCTTCCACTAAAGATAAAAACCCATTTTATCTTTAGTGGCTTGAACAATTCCTGGTGTGTGATAGAAACTAAAAAATATTTGTTGGATGGTTTAACCAACTTCTTCCCTTTTTTGGATCTGGAAAACCTCCATTCAGCACTCAAGGCTTACCACAGACACCTCCTCCTTTGAGGGGCCCTGGGAGCTCCCCTACACAGAATGGAGCACTCAGTGCATTGTGTGGCCATGCCGGGTTATAATCCAGCTCCCTTGTCTAGGGTGGCAGCTCCGGAGGGCAGGGCAGGGTCTAAGTCTAGAGCCTGACTCTGGACTGTTGGTTCAATGAATAGGGAACCCCCTTCTCTAAACTGAAAACTGTAGTTGGGACTTTGCAGCCAGCCTCCTCCACCCTCCATTCCACATCTTTCTTTTGGAAGTTTGTTTACATTATAGTGGTTGTATAAATAGGAAAAGAAGCCTTTAAAATGGAAATGGAGAAATTTGGAGAGTTTAGCAACCTGAAATGAAATCCAAAAGGGTTTTATTCTCTTGGGGTTTTTGAGTCTCTTCTAATGCTCTGAAAGCTGAGAATGAATGGTCATTAAGGATTGTTTTTGTTTATCAACAGCTTTATTGTTGGCTTCCTTAAAATAGTTCATCCCTCTTCACCAAAGGCGAGCCTGGAGAGTCTTGAGCCTGGGGCTTTGCTGGCAAAGTCTGCTACCCACTTAGCTGTCCCTGGGGGCCAGGGTGGTGGTGATGCCATTGGGGGCCTCTTCCTACTGGCCCCATCTTAAGACCAGGCTTCCTGAGACTGGAAGGAGTTGGGAGGCGGATGTTTCCCTTCCTTCTCAGTGAAACCAGGAGAGTCACACCTTCTTCATAGGGGTATCAAGGACAAGCTGCCTTTAACCAGGTCTGGGCACATGGCCATGTTTGGGAAAGGTGGGCTATAGTTAACACCCCCAAACTGGCCACACATCCCATGCCATGACCAGTTAAAGCAGTTGACAGTCACATCACACAGCTTTCCACAAACCCTCCCAACAGGTTTGTCAGTTCAGAGTGAGCAGGACAATAGCAAGCATCTGGAAGCTTCCATTAAGCCAACTCCTCTGTAAGGGATGGACCTGGGTCATTGGGAGGAGGAAGATCTAAAGAGTATGTGGAATTGTTCCAAACAAGGGATTCAGTGCTCCTAGTCAAGAAGAAAAAAGACAGACAGTCCAGTAGGAAATGGGCAAAGGGTATGAACAAGATCGCCTGGAGGGTGACTCCAGAAAGCCGGTGACCGTGTGGCAAGGTGCTCCACCTCCCTGGTGATAAGGAGACTCATATTTAGTCACAGGGAGATACCATTAGATTGCTGGATATTAAAGAGTGTGGCCAAGGTTGTGAAGTGACGGGACACACACAGCCAAAGGTCCATGGTGCCCCCCAATACAGTTCCCCGTGGCACACACCCAAAGGAAACTGCCATTTTGAATCTGGTATATCTAGGGTTCTTGGAATTGTCACTGCATATATATGTACCTATTATTTGAAAACAAACATCAGCCAGTTTAATGAAATTTCCTGTTGAATTAGCCCCCTGCTGGCATCTAGCCAGGAATCACAGGAAGAATGTGTTTATCCTAAGGCGTGCTCAGCCCATCCAGTGGTTCCCAAACTTATCATGGGGTCATTAAGTGAGTGGCTTTCCTTGTTCCTGAAGAAGCTGCCCTGTCCCTGGGAGGAGGAGCATCCTTATGGTGACATGCTGAGGGTCCTCGCACCATCCTCAGTGGCTCTCTGATACTTTCCCCAAAGAGTCTTGGCTATGCTCTTACCAACCTACAGATTGGCCAGCAGCTCAGGATCTGCTGGTTGGGAACAGTTTGGGGCTGAACCTTTTGCAAATTTTTTTTAAACACATTTTTTTATTGTGGCAAAATATACCTGACATGAAATGTACCATTTTAACCATTTTTAAGCAGTTTTGTAGCATTAAGTTCAGTCACATTATGCAACCATCACTACAATTTTCTCCAGAATTTTTTCTTCTTCTCAGACAGACACTGTTCCTATTAAACAACAGCTCCCCATCCTCCCCTCCCCTAGCCCCTGGCAACCACCACTCTATTCTCCATCTCTATGAATTCTCCTATCCTAGGGATCCTGTGTAAGTAAAATCTGACTGCATTTGTTCTTTTATGACTATCTTCTTTCACTTAGCATAATAGCTTCAAGGTTCACCCATATTGTTGCATGTGTCAGAATCCCTTCATTTTTATGGCTGCATAATATTCCACTGTGTGGATGGACCACATTTCCTTTATCTGTTCATCTATCAATGGACACTTTGGTTACTTCCATTTTTTGGCTTTGGTGAGCAGTGCTGCAGTGAAGGTGGGTGTGCAGGTACTTGTTCAAGTCCCTGCTGGAATTGCTTTTAAGACCATAGGAAAGACAGTTGGCCCACCCCTGTGTTTTATCACAAAGCCCAGAAGGTTAGGTCTGCCCAGCAGCACAGCCAGGGACAGGACTTGGAAGCTAGGCCGAGGCCCTTGGGGCTGTGTTCCCTTGTGGAGACCCTCCACTGCTGGGCCAAGGAGCCCCCCTCAGAGGCCATAAGCACTGAATATGATTCTGACTTTTCTCCCCTTCACAGCTATGCCCTTCGCTTTCTGTACGAGAGAGAAGCTTCCTTGGACGGAGTTTGCTGAGTCAGCAGAAGACGGGCCCACCACCAGATTCTGTCAGAAGGTGGGACGTCAGCCGCTGCCCTGGCAGCAGCTGCCGATCACATGTGGGTCACTGACCAGCCGCAGCTGCTGGGGGTCGTGGCACCTCACCATGGAAAATGCACACACTTGGTGCTTGTTTTGCCAGATAAGATCGGATAAGACTGTTTGCTGCCCTTTTTTAGTGTGCTTTCACTTAAAATTGCAGTTTCAGAGCCAGAAGGGACCTTAATGGCTTTTTCAGGTGAGGGGGCTGCAGCCAGGGAGGGTGGCCTGGGGCTGACTCCCATAGTAGGTCCCACAGCCGGTAAGTGGCAGGGCCGGTGCTCAGGGACCAGCAAGGCCTGTTCCTCGTCCAGAGCTCTGCTGTTCCGCCTTGCTGTTTGCCTGAGTTATGTAGGCTGCTCTGCGGGACTCATCTCATTAGCAGAGACACTGGTCTTCATTTTTCTTTATTAGGGCCTCATAATATGTGTTGTATGATCCCATTTGTATGTCCAGAATAGGCAAATGCATAGAGGCAGAAGGCAGAGTAGTGGCTGACGGGCTTGGGGTGGGGGCAGGGGGGTCACTGCTAATGGGCTTGGGGTTTCCATCAGGGGTGATGAAAATGTCCTGAAATTAGATTGTGGTGATGGATGCACAACTCTGTGAATGTCCTGAAAACCACTGAATGGCACATTTTATAAAAATGGATTTTATGCTACATGAATTACATCCTAATAAAGCAGTTATCCAAAAACCCCTAACATTCAAAGAGGTTACAGATGGTAGCATATCCTTATTCTCACCTGCAAGCAGAGAACTTCCATTTCTTCTTGTCCCATTTCAGCCTTTATGCATGTAATTTAGAGTGTTTTTGAGCAGAGCTGTAATCATAGCGATTCGGTCTAGACGGATGTGATTCCACACGTCAGCGTTCTCGAGCTCTGGGAAAAAAATCACCCATTCACTGGGCTGTTGTCTCTGTGCTGCGGACAGAAGAGGAAGAGGACTGGTTAGGAGGTGACTGCGGATAACACACCTGAACCAGGGCTGGAGGAAAAGGAAAGGAGGTGTGGAGATAAGGACTGGTGCCAAGGGACGCCTGTGGGCACCAGATGGGCCCAGGGACCCCAGCCTCCCTCACGTGCCCTGAAACATCTCCTTCTCTCACTGTGTCTCTCCCTCTCTCCTGTCATTCCAGCCAGAGGAAATGACAGGCTGGTTAGAGTTGAGAGCAGAAGACTATCCAGGGCTGCTCATCCAGATGGTCACCAGGTATATGTTCTCACTGGAGACAAAAGGAATTTGTTGTCAAAGAGTCTTGTTTTGTTTTTGGTACAGATGAGAAGTACCATGATTTACTCGTTTTTATTAAATTCTGGTAAAAAACACATACCATAAAATTTACCATCATAACCATTTTTAGAGTACCATTCAGTGGTGTTAGGTACATTCACAGTGGTGTAGAAGGGGTCTCCAGGACTTTTCATCTTGTAAATATGAAATGCTGTGCCCATTAGCTGACTTTCCTCTGGCCCCAGCTGTGGTGACCAACATTCTACTTTCTGTTTCTATGAGTTTGACTTCAGAGACCTCACGTGAGTGAACTTGTACAGAGAATGTGTTCTTTTGTGTTTGGCTTATTTCACTTGGCATAATGCCAGGGTTCATCCAGGCCAAGGATGCCATCCATGCCATCCATGCAACAGGATTCTCTTCCTTTTCAGGGCTGAAGACTATTCCATTATATGGATTTGCCCCATTCTGTTTGCCCAACCCTCCAGCCATGTATTTGGGTTGCATCCACCTTTTGGCTGTTGTGAGAGCGCTGCTGTGGTCGCTGGTGTGCAGATTTCCCTTTGAGACCCTACTTTGAATTCTTTGTATATATACCCAGGAGTGGGACTACTGGGTCATACAGTAGTTCTATTTTTAATTTTTTGAGGAACTGCCATACTCTTTTCCACAACAGCCGCACCACTTTACATTCCCACCAGCAGTGCCCGGGGATGATGACTTTTCTCATTTAGCTGAGCTTGGACATGAGGACACACTGGCATCTAGTCCTCCAAAGGGCAAATGCAAGCGAAAGCTCTGAACCAAGTCTAGTTATTCAGGAGGATCCCTGACTTCTTCAATGAGAAACAATGACAGTTGATCTGAAAGTAGGACTCTGTGATCTTCATCATTTCTCCAGCTGGCAAAGAAACACGACCTGGTGGTGGTATCCCCCATCCTGGAGCGAGACAGAGAGCATGGCGACGTTTTGTGGAACACAGCCACGGTGATTTCCAATTCTGGAGCCATCCTTGGGAAAACCAGGAAAAACCACATCCCCAGAGTGGGCGATTTCAATGAGGTGAGCTGCCCCCCAGATGACCGGCCCAGCTGGCTTGCCCTTCTGTACGCATATCTCCTTGGGCCTTTTTGTGAGAGAAGTTCTGGGTCAGATCATATCAAGTCGCACAACACGGAACACAGTGTGGCTGCAATGCTTGGGACCTCCTGCCGTGGCCCCTCCCCACAGGGCAGATGGGACTCAGGTGGGATGCCCAGGCGAGTCCCAAACACCTTCAGCACAGAGGGCTGGTTTTTCTTAACAGGACCTGACTTAGCTTTCTGAAATTCATCTCTGAAGTAAGTAGGATATAAATTAAAACCAATATAAACAGTGCACAAATGTGAAATGATTCCTGTGGCCCCTTTCTAGCCCCTATAGTCTAGTCCTTATTTGGGGGGTGAGGGTCCATGTCTGTGGTTCACGTGGGGTCTCAATCAGCTGTGTCCACGTGTTGGGAGACAGTGGCTGAACATGCATATCTGTGCACCTGTGGTAGATGGGGCTGTGTGTCTGTGAGCAGGGTGTAAGTCAGTGTAGCTGTTTTGATTGGTTAATGTCAAATTTGTGGGTGGGTAGGATGTGGGGGTGGACATTTGAAGGAGGTAAGTGAGCTCCACCTACTAGATATGAAATCTGGACTTGATCTGAAAAAAAATACAGTTATGCAGGATGCGATGCCCCCAGTCCTCCATGGCCCTCCCTGATGGTGAGGGTCCCTGCCACCCTCAGGCTGGTCAGGCAGATCACGAGTCATCTGCTGAGCTAGCCGAGGTTCCCCCGGGGAAAAAGAAGAGCCCAGTGTTTCTCAGTAACAGCTGGAGCTGGGGGTGGGAAGGCATACCTCCCGGCTGTTTACCCTGGGATTAATCTTTAGCTCCCTGTAGATAGTAAAGGGCTTGTCTCGACACACCAGGATCTGGCCCAATGTCCACCACATGTGCACATCCTGGTTGCTGCCTGACCCTTGCAATATTAGTAGGAGGAGACGAATGTTCCAGGAACAGGTCTGTTTGGGACCCCAAGTAGACCCCAGTCCAGTCCCCCACAGTGCCATCCATGGAAATGTCCCAGGGCCGGCAGCCTGAGGGGGCAGGCGGAGGGGCAGGGGTGGCAGGGCCGTGTGCCACCTGCCTGCCCTACAGGGCCATCCACAGCAATGGGCAGGATGCCAGAGAGCTCTGTGGAGAATAGTACCTCCTAGGGGTGAGTTCTTGTGTCAGATTGGTCCTCATCAGCTGGGCGAGTTACGTGAGCCCCCGGGCTGTGGGTTCTCCCCAGCAGGTGAGGGCTGCCCCGATGAGCTCCCAGTCCCTTCAGCTTGACATTCTTTATAGGTACACATGGCTGTTGGGGACATTAACCAACTCATGTTAACAGTGACCAGACAATCTTCCTTTTGTTGTACCATGACTGAAACCTAACCAAAGTGTATCCTTGAAATACTATGAGAAGTTGCTTTGGGGATTTTTTGACATGTCACAAAAGAAATTGTGGCTAATTGCAAAAGCCATGGTGATTTCCCCTTTGGGTTGGCTTGTAGCGATTGTCTGGTTTTTCTTGGGTTCATTTCGGGAGGGTGGGGGGGATTTTTTGGCATCTTGAAATTACAGAATTTAGAGTCACACCCAAGAGTGTTGCTTTGGAGTATTGGTGACAGTCCTCTTCTTATGTCAAGTCTAAGGAAAGGGAAATGTCACAGCTGAGAGGCTGTATTATATGGCCCTTTGTTTTTCAGTCAACTTACTACATGGAGGGAAACCTGGGCCACCCCGTGTTTCAGACGCAGTTCGGGAGGATCGCGGTGAACATCTGCTATGGGCGGCACCACCCCCTCAACTGGCTCATGTACAGCATCAACGGGGCCGAGATCATCTTCAACCCCTCGGCCACCATCGGAGCCCTCAGGTCACTCGGCAGGCAGGATTCGGGAGGGGTCCTGGGGGCCAGGTGTCTCAGGCCCATGGCCAGGCTGCATGGCCTGGAGAGGGGCTTGGTAAACAGCAGCGGGCAGGTGGGACCACCAGGACATCTGGCAAGCCTGAACCCTGGGATTGTGTCCTGTGCACTTAGGCAGCTTCTCCTCTTCTAAAGAACCTGGAGCATAGTAGGTACCTGGCCACCTTTGGCCTCCATCCCTGGCATAGCCACTGTACCTCTGGAAGAGGGGACTGCTGATTCCTGAGCCTCGTGTCTGCAGCGTCCGCTGTGCGGAGGGCAGACGTCTGGACAAGAGATGGAACGGATGGGGGAGTCAAGCTGAGGCTCCCTAACAGATCGGCCAAGTGGCTCTGAAGCTTGTTTTTAACTTCTTGTGACACCTAACACATGTTTAGGTGTTAGCCTTATTCCCGAATAGAAAACTGCTGTCCAGGGCAGTGGGGTGGGCCCTGGCGGCCCTGAGCAGGACCCTGGAGGCCCCTTGGTCAGTAATGGCGAGTGAGCCAGCATGACCCAGCGTGACTGCACTTCTGCCGCTCCTCTTCCCCAGCGGCTGAGTGTTTGGGTGGTTTCCAGTTTTGCATCATTAACAAGTACCAGAGCTCTAGGAATGTGTGTGCAAATATCTTTCTCCTCAACTCACTTCCTGCAAGCAGGACTTCTGGGTCAGGAGGTGCTGGCTTTCCCTCTCTGCAGTCCTAGATGCCTGCGCCCCCTCAGGGAGGGGGCTGCAGAGGAGGGGACAGCCCCTGGTCCCTCTGTGGGGGAGCAGCTCTGAGTTCCCTTCCGGCCCACACCTGTCACTCTTGTCCCTTCTCACAACTAAATTTCAATCGAATTTCTTCTAAATGTCAGAACTTGACATTTAATTTTTCTTATAAGCACTGTGTCCCCTTCTCAAGTGTGACTTCTCAAGTGTGAATTCTGATTTGCACAGCATGCAAACCCTGTGGCTCCCTCAGGTCCCCTGCCCTGTCCGTGCACCTGAGCATCTGCCTGTGTCCAGGAGGGCTGTGGTTGGGTAGCAGGGGAGCCATCTTGGCTCTCCCCCCAGAGAACCCCCACGGGGCCTCATGGTGGCTTGGTCGCTATGACTGTGATTGGCACTTGTGACTTAGGGTGATTACAGCTCATCCAGCCACAGCGTCTGGCCAGAACCTTGGGGCCACCCTGGAGCAGCCCCCTCCTGCCAGCCATGCGTAAGATGTCCAGTAAGTTCCAGCTCCCCAGAGGGTCCCTAGAGGAAACTGAAGCCAATGCCCTGAGTCGGCCTGGGCCTGAACTAGCTCCTGGGCCAGGGCAGGCAAAGCTATGGTCTCAGACTCAGATGGCTACCTCCCTGACCCTACACTCCCTAGGGTGTTTATAGCCCCAATTAAGCAAACAGAAGCACCCCTATGTAATATGCACATAACCACTTATGTCCTCAACAGCCTATTAAGCTTATTAAAAATTATTGATTTTCCTTCCTCAGCCAACAATCATTCAACTTGTGGCTTTCCAGGGTGTGGTGAGGCCGGCAGTTAAAATGATCATGAGTCTTTTGGGAAGCTGTATGCTTCGTGAGCTTCTAAAATGTTCACACCCTTTGACCGGATAATTATGCTCCTAGAACTTTACCTAAGGAAGCGTCTAAAAGAGGAAGAAAAAGCTGTACACGTGAAGATGTTTCTGGCAGCTTTATTTATAATGAGAGACAAGCCAGAAGCGAGAGCAATGACAGGCCCAGGTCTGTTTCAGCCCGTCGCTTCCACGGGTTATTGTACAGCCACTAAAAAGTCATTATGAAGATCAATGCAGCATCACAGCAGGAGCCTGTGAGCAAAGGAGGCTGTTTCCAGGCTGCGGTCAGAACTCTGTAAACATCTTTTGCCACGGATGATCATAGAGTTTGGAAAAATGACCACAGATGGTCTGTTAGGATGGCGGGATTCTGGGTGATCTCCTTAAAATGATAAATGATTGTCTGTGGAATTGATGGTGTTTTTAAGCATGATAGTGGGCAAATCACCAGCCGTACACAAACATCGGCTCCCAGCTCCCAGAACAACCCATCCCCTTCTCTGGCATCTCCTGTGCCCCCTGCCACTGGCCCCCCATATACACTGTCCTGTGGGTTAGCAGGATGTCCTCACTCATTTTGGGGTCCCACAGTTCTAAGTACACAATAAAGTTGAATTGCTTTTTGATGAACTGAGTCATCCTGACAGCCCATGTGGTTGCAGATTCCTGCCATGTATGTGGGTTAATCAGGAAGTCGATATATCCCAGCCCCTCCCTGCATTTTGCCCCCCAACTGTGATTGTTTTTAGGGGCTTGTGTAGCCACCCTGGGAATGTGGCAGATGTCCCTTTCCTCCTCTGCCCCCTGCAGGGGGCTCCCCGTGACTTCTGCACGTGCTGGGCTCCCCGAACCTCTAGCTGCCTTCCCCTTGCTTGTTTTGAGCCTAACTTTTATTGCCAGCTGCGGGTTTGAGTCCTATGCAGCCCACCCCCACTGGAGAACTGCAAGAAAGATGTTTTATGGCACTCGCTCTGCTACTGTCTATTTAATTCCTGAAAATGTCATTTACGGGTGTGTTTCTATAAAAATCCTTTCTTAAAAGTTTTGTCAGCTCGGCTTAGCAGCTGGGGGAGAAAAGCAGCAAAATGAGTCCCCTCAATCAAGCCTGTGATTTTTTTCCCCCAGACTCATGAATCCTCCTGAGAATTAGGCTTGTGACAAGCACCCACCCCCTCCACCTACTCCCTGGTTTAAACCAGGTGCACGTTGAAGGAAGATTCCAGGGCATTTTGCTCCCAGTCACTCAGTGTTTCTAAGTGGGCATTATGCCTGTCAATCCAGAATCTTAAAGATGTTGTTCCTCAGACAAGAGATAATTAGTGACAAAGAAGGCCATTTTAGTTGGTGGCTGCAGAAGGGCACAGTCTCCAGGTGGGGCAAGGGTTCCTGCCGGGTCCTCTCCTTTGTGGGTGCTGGACTGAGAAAGGCCCCAGCTCAGCTGTGCCTTTGGGCTGCCTCCTTCCTGGGCCACTTAGAGAACCAGGGAGCCCCTGCTTAGAGACTCAGGGGGCAGAAGAGGAAAACAGGAAGGCTCTGGAAATGGGCCCAGCGCGGGGTGGGAGGCGGACACCTACTACCGAATCTAGCCCCCATTCCATTACCTAAGATTCCTTTCAGGTGTAGTCTGCTTGGCCTGAGCGCTCCTCCTTGGGAGACCGCTTTGCAAGGCAAACAGCAAGCAGGGTAGGCATTAGGACAGGCCGTTACAACCCTCCCAGTGCCGTGCACGAGCCCCGCTGCCTCCAGCTCCCTCCGACATTCACCAGATGAGGCTCTGCCTGCCTGGAAGGAGGGTTCCTCGCCCAGACCAGGAGGAGGGAGTGAGAAGTAGCAGTTCTGGAGCTTCTGGTGCTCTAGAAGCTTCACCTGCAGGGGCAGCCTTCGTGTCCCTTTGAGGAAGTTTCAAGAAGGAGACTGAGGCTCAGGCTGAGGGTTTGACCCTGGGCTGCTCCTGCCTGCAGCAGCCGCCCACCCTCCCAAAGGCTGCTTAGGCTTGAGCATGGGACACCGTGTACAGAAGCTGGCCACCTTGCAGGTTTGGGGTCAGCCACGGATATGAGACTCCCTAGCCGTCCCTACCACAGGCCAGAAAAGCTGGCAACTTGACTATTGCTCGGGGCCAAGCATCCACCAAGCCTGGTGAGAACGTCAGTGACCTGGTTCTCTCCTTCCTCTCTCCTAGTGAGTCCCTGTGGCCGATTGAGGCCCGAAACGCAGCCATCGCCAATCACTGCTTCACCTGTGCCATCAACCGTGTGGGCGAGGTGAGTCCCTGCATTCTGGCCAGGCTCCCTGGCCCGGTCAACCAGGTGTGCCGGGAGGGGACAGAGTGATAAGCTGCCTGCTGGGCTGGGGGTGGGGGTGGTCTCTTAGACCAGCAAAGGCCACAGAGAAAGGAGCTACTGTCTGCCGGCCCTGCTGGGGGGACAGGCCACACCTCTCTTCCTTCTCTGTGTGGGTGCCACGAATCATAGAGTCCCAGAAGAGGGCAGGCTGGCTTGGTCTGCTACTTGTAAAGATATCACTATGTCCTTCCTCTGTTTCTGTCTATTTTTGTGTTTAGCTGAAACCTATCACCACCAAGTATCCGGTTTCATATTTTTCCCTATCGACCCCACGCACTGAGCGATTCTAACTACCAAACATGACCCATTCATTACATGATGCTCTTCCTCCTCCTCCTTATTCATCGGATGTCAGCCTCTAATCAGAGCATCCGATCGGCCAGAGATAACCCAGGTTTCCACACTAAGTCGACCTAATTTCTGGCAGCATAAGGACATTCCGTGTTTTAATTAGCCCACGTGACCCCGTCACAGCCTGATGGGCCGTTTCCATTAGGCTTTGGGGAAAACATTTGAAAACGGTGTGTGGATTCCCGCTTACGCTCTCACAGACCCCGGGCTGCCTATTCCTCTGGCAAGCAAGCCTCCCGTGCGTCCACAGCCCTGAGACCCCACCGGCGCAGCGTTGGGGTTTGCTGCCGTTAGAGGGTGAACATCCCAGAGGCGAAGTCCAGGTCTCTACCGTGCTTCTCCAGCCCCACTGGCCGCCTGCAGGGCCCAGCGCTGGGTGCTCAGCAGGGGCACTTGTAAGCACCTGCTGGCTGCCCAGTGCTGGGCCCCATCTCACGTGCACTGTTGCTCAGCTGACTCCGCTCGGCCTGACCTCACGGTGACCTCAGTGGTGGTGCCACCTATGGGTTTGCGTCATCTTGCTTTTGCTTCACAGGAGCACTTCCCAAACGAGTTCACCTCTGGAGATGGGAAGAAAGGTATGTTCAAGTTTCCATGGCGGCTGCACTGAGGAGAGGATCTCACCGCCCCCTCCTCCATCCACCTCCCACAGGCAGGGTTCACCCGCAGACCAGGCCCGCGCATCTGGCACCTCAGAGGGGTGGGCTCCGCTTGGCTTTGTCGGCCACCGTGTGGGAGCCTGACAATGGCCCAGGTCCTGACCTCGTGACCCTTCATTTCCCAGACGGGATCCAGGGGGACTGGAGCCCTCCCTCCCCTGGCATTAGTGTGCAGACAGACCAGGGTGTGGGAGAGCCTCTTGTGAGCTCCCTGAAAAGAGGGGTGCTTTATTCACCCTTCAGATCCCTCTTTTCCTTTGTCCTTGTCCACCTGGCCCCTCCCCACCCATGCTGTACCAATGCCCAGATTGCTTTGGGTTCCTAGCATCTGAAGCTTGTTTGATCTGAGGGCAGGTACCACCTCACCTCTGCTGGGGATCCCCCAGCCCCTTGTCCTACCTCTCTGGCTGGGAATGTGGGAGGGAAGGTGCCCTCCTCATCTAGCAGGTGTCTGTGCCAGCTCAGGATGTCCCCTGGGATGCTTGAGGGGCTGAGCAGGTCTGCTACCCAGAACCTAAGGATTCCAGATCACCCCACTTGAGGACCCAGACTTCCAGTCTCCAATACAGTTAGCTTCCTACAGAGAGAGGAGCAGCAAAGCAGGGAAATGAGGTCCACTGGGGACCTGCCGGGCCCTGTACTGCCCTCACCTGCCCCTTACATGCCTGCGGGGAGGCTGTTTGCCCCACTTCCCTGGTGAGGGGGCTGAGGCATGGAAGGTGGGAACGGCTGGCAAGGCGGGCGAGGGCAGAGCCTCAGCTCACTGTGTGGGGCCACCACAAGGAGCAGGTCACCCTGGAAGCCCTGCAGAGACATGTGACTCCCGTGGGCTGTGGGTGCCTGGTGTTGGGAGCAAATGCCAACACCTCTACAAGGATGACCCTTAGAAATGTTTCCACGGGCAGAGTTGGGGGCTCTGAGGGTGACTTTTGTGGCAACTTACTGAGCCTTCAGGCCTAAGGAGGGAGGCCGGTCATTTCGGGCCTCAGCATTTAGTAGATGTGGGGGAGGGTGGCACGAACCCTTTGTCCTGGCGTCCCTCGCTGTGTCTGCCCCTCCACAGAGCCCACTGTGTGCCTGTGGAGGCTCATGGTGCTTTCCTTTGCTCCTGCCAAGCTCACCGGGACTTCGGCTACTTCTATGGCTCAAGCTACGTGGCAGCGCCTGACAGCAGCCGCACTCCTGGCCTCTCCCGCAACCGGGACGGGCTCCTGGTTGCTGAACTCAACCTCAACCTCTGCCGGCAGATGAGTGACATCTGGAATTTCAGGGTGGGTCCCCGAGTCCCTGCTGCCGCCCTGCTCCTCTGCTCGGGCCCTCGGCCTGCTCTCAGGGCGGAGAACTTCGGCTGCTGGGTTCACCCTCGGGGATGGCCGCGTGAGGCTCCAAGTCGGCCGGGGGACTCGGTCTCTGCCCCTCGGGGCTGGTGCAGAGGGAGGAGCCACCGGGTCAAGTGATGCCAGGCAGCAGACCTGTATAAATTCTCCTCTTGGCTGATTTAGATTCTGGGCACTTTCAAACAAATTAATCTCAATTTCATTTGTGCAGAGAATAGAGTAGACTGGCTTCTCTAATCCTTTTTTCCTTTCCAGGCCTTTACACTTATCACAAGATAAACGTGCATGTCTGGCCGGGCCCCACAGTGTAGGCCTTGACAACAGAGGGAAATGGGTCATGTAGAGAAATGGAATCTAGACCTCGCTCTGTCACCCCCTTGCCCAGTCACCTTAAGCCCCTTCTGCTCCCAGGCCTTTGTAAAATGAGAGGCTTCACTTGAGTTCCCAAGTAGCCTTTATGACCTAACACCCTGTGACACCAGGGGTCATGGGAGAAGTCTAAGTGCCCACCTTTGGAATGGGGCAGTGACAGCCATGGCCTGAGCTCCTGGGAATGCGGCATCTCATCATGGCTGCAGGTGGAGTTTGCTGTATTAGCGCCCGGCAGTATTTCTACCAACTCAGTACCCATCTGTAAGCAAATCGTCATGCAAATGCATGTCACATTGTCATGACTGATCAGCATGTCTGGGAGGAACCAGGGCTTCAGATCTGGCCAGATACGGGCTCCAGGCCCGGCTTCCCCGTTTACCTAGGTGTGGGCCCTTGAGTGCATTCCTTGAGTCTCAGATCCTCATCAGACAAACAAGGCATTGCCCACATGAAAGTCTTCTAGCCTGTTTCCTGTTCCTGGGAAGCTTAGATTAATGTAGGATTTCATGCAAATTAGAAGTTGGAATCGAATCAATAAACAATGTTTTCTCAATAACTTTTTGAAAGTGGAAGCCTTCCCATTCTACGTTGATGGGCAAGAACTCCTGTCGAGGCTTTGGGATGGAGGGAGGCATTGCCAGGGGGCCAGCATTCCAGGTGGGCTTCCCAGCCCCACCTCTGCCTTCTCCCAGCCTCCGTCTGTGTCTGTGATGAGATGTCACATGGAGTGGACAGACCTCCAGACCTAGAACCAGGAGACGGGAGTGTAAATCCCAGCCACCTCCTCTCTTGGCTGGTGGCCTAGCACAGGTTACCCTCCTCTGGGCTGCAGGCTGCTTTTCTGGGGTTCTGTAGGACCCCAGGAGAGCCCTCCTGCCTTCAGGGTAGGCCACACTTTCTAGATGGGCAGATCACAGTCATCCAGCAGGAGGGCAGGGGATGTGAGTCATCTTGACATCTGTGATCTTTGCCATGGCACCCGAATGTGTGCCAAGAGGTCACCGGGGTTTTTTTTTTTTACAGTAGTCTGAAATTGCCCTACCGGCCTCCCTGTGGCATTTCTGTCTCATTGCTGCCCTCCAGTGGCAGAGGTGGTGGCAAGAAAGTGAGGGCCATTCACAACCCAGGAACCTCTGAAGTATGTCTGTGTTTTGCTTTCAGATGACGGGCAGATATGAGATGTACGTGCAGGAGCTTGCGGAAGCCATCAAACCCAACTATCGCCCCAATATCGTGAAAGAGTAGCTGGCCTTCAGCACCTGCCGCCAGCAGGTCAGCAAGTACATCAGGCTTTACGTGTCCAGTTCTCTCTGGTGATGCTGATAACACTGCTGTCCAGATGAGCTTAAAATGCCCAGGTGGGGAGGGTAGAATGAGGAGTGACTGCTTAATGGGTAGAGGTTCCTTCTGGGGTGATGAAATGTTTTGGGACTAAATAGAGGTGATTGTTACACACAATGTTGTGAATGTACTAAATGTCACTGAATTGCATCTTTTAAACTGACTAATTTTATGTTATATGAAATTTACCTCAATTAAAAACAAACGTCCAGGCACTGATAGGGCAGGTTGATTCGAAGTTAGACAGATGGGGTGCCCCAGTCCTGATGGTCCTGGCTTCTCCATACGTGAGCATATGGGAGGGAGCGTGCATGCGAGTGGGAGAAGGCGAGGCCGATCCAGCGTCACTGAGCTGCTGGATGGTTGTGGGAGGGGGACAGTCACTCCATGTGTCAGCTCCGCTGGGCTGCAGGCTCCAGTTACTCAGACACTAATCCGGATATTGCTGTGAAGGTATTTTGCAGATGTGATTAAAGTCCATAACCACTTACCTAAGCAAGTGAGATTATCCTAGATAATGTGGGTAGGCCTGATCCAATCAGTCAAAGGCCTTAAGAGCAGACTTGAGGCTTCCCTGAAGGAGAAATTTTGCCTGACAGCTTCGGTCCGTGCCTCGGGGCTCCAGTTCGCCCTTCCCGACTGACCGCCCTGTGGATTTCAGACTTGTCTCTCCAGCCTCCACAGTCACTTAAGTCAGTTTCTTGCAATGAATCTTTTAATCTGAATCCTACTCTTTTTGCTTCTCTGGTTGGACCCTGACTGATAGATTCCGGTACTAGAAGTGGTTCTAGAGGAACAGAATCTTAATGATGAGTTTTCTGCATTGGTTTAGGTTTCTGGTATTCTTCTCTAATTTAATTGGATTTACACCTTCAGGAACTAAAAAAAAAGCACAAAGCTCAAAGCTAATGGTAGGAAAGAAAGAATAAAATTAGAACAGAGATAAATGAACTAGAGAATAGAAAAACAACAGAGAAAATCAAAACCAAAAGTTGGTTCTTCAAACAGACAATCAAAATTGATAAACTTTTAGCTAGATTGACTAAGAGGAAAAAAAGACTCAAATTCATAACATCAGAAGTGAAAGTGGGGCCATTACTACAGATTCTACAGAAATAAAAAGGATTTTAAGAGATTACTGTGAACAGTTTGTTGGAGATCATCGAGAGGACATGGCGACCTGCTGACCCGTGAGCTGGACCCGGGCATGCAGTCTCCTTCCCCCTTCCCCTGTCCTTGGAATGTACATTCTGTCCATTGTTCCCAACCAGGAGCTACATCAAGGATGCAACCTTGAGAGAGCAATGTGCTGTTGGGACCATCTGGACTGTCCGCTTGCAGTAGCAGGACTGAACCCAGTTAAGGCCTCTACCTGTAAACTCTCAAGATTCTGGTGGGCATGTGCAGAGAACTGCTCATCTGGTGGCTGCCCCAGACAAGCGTCATGTAAGTTCCCTTGCTTATTAAAACTGTCACCTACCAACCTGGAGGGGCCTTTTTCTTACGTCTCTCCTTGCCCTCTGGGTATGGGAGCCCATTTCAAATTTCACCTGGGAACTCCTGAAGTTGTGAACCAACACAATTGTACCCAACACATTGGATAACCGAGGTGAAATGGACAAATTCCTAGAAACAAAACACCTACCAAGACTCAATCACAAAGAAATAGAAAATATGAATAGACATGTAACTAGTAAGGAGATTGAACAAGTAATCAAGACCTTCCCAACAGAGAAAAGCTGGACCAGAGGGCCTCACTGGCGAGTTCTACCAAACATTTCAAGAACTAACACCAGTACTTTGGAAATCCCGCCGAAAAATTGAAGAGGAGGGAGCATTTGTGAACTCATCCTATGGGGCCGACATTACCCTGACACCAAAGCCACTACAATCGAACAAAACCACAGACCAATATCCCTTATGGATACTGATGCAAAAACCCTCAAACAAAATACTAGCAAACTGAATTCAGCACAGTGAAAGGATTATACACCATGACCCAGTGGGATTTATTCCTGGAATGCAAGAATGGTTCAATGTATAGAAATTAATGTAATACCCAGTGGACCCTTGAGCAACACGAGTTTGAACTGAGTGGGTCCATTTACAGTTTTTCTTCAACAAATACATTTGGAAAAATTTTTGGAGATGACAATTTGAAAAAAAACATTCTCTGTAGCTTAGTTTCCTGGAAGAAGACTGTATAGTACATATAACATACAAAATATGTGTTACTCTGCTGTTCATGTTATTGGTAAGACTTCCCGTCAACAGCAGGCTATTGGGTTCATAGCGGGACTTGGGATTTGGCAGTGATTCCTTGGCTATGACACCAAAAGCACAGTCAACAAGAGAAAAAAATAGATGGGACTTCATCAAAACTAAAACCCTTTGTGCCTCAAAGGACACTAACAGATTAAAAAGGCAACCCACTGCATGGGAGAAAATATTTGCAAAACACGTATCTTACAAGATCTTATCTTACATCTTATTAACATGTCCAGAATGTACAGAAAACCCCCAACACTCACTCACAACCACACAACATTAAATGGATGTGCTCAGAAGACCCTCCTGGCCGCATACCTCAGTCTGAGATGAGCCGTGGGCCCTGGAATGCTGGTCTCAGAGGTGCAGGCTGAGGCTGGGCTTCTGCTCTCCACGTTCTGCATAGTGGGCCCTCAGGGAAGATCCGTCGAGCAAAGGGAGGCATGCTGCCTCCGTGGGGACTGTCGGCAGAAGATCTCACAGCTGCGGACTGTGGCAGTTAGAAGAGAAATCAGCTTTTCATTCTTGATTGTAGTGAGCAAGTGTTTTATAGGAAATTTAGAAAATAAGGAAAATGTCGGAGAAGGGAAAAAATAGCATCTAGTCTTCTAAGCCAGAGATAGACCATAGCTAACATTCTGGCATGTTTCTTTTCAGTCCTTTTTATGCCTATTTAAACATAACTGAGATCATAACATCTCTATAATTTTGTGGTGTTTCCTCTGTTTCACAATATAATGTGATCATTTCCTTCACTGTAAAAAATGTTTTTAGACTCTTTGCCAGAGGCATAATCTTCAGTATGCAGATGTCCCTTATTTAATTATTCCCCCTACGCTAGACATTAAGTTATATATTTATTCATTCACTCATTGCTATTACAAATGATGCTGGTATGAATGGTTTAATGCTAAATTAGTCTTACTTCTATTGTCTTCTTAGGATAGGTTCCAAGAAATAGGATTCACTGTGTTAAAAAGCAGGAACATTTTGTCAAAAACTGGGAAGAATTTGAGATCTTACCATATTTGCAAGCTGACAGGTTAGCCTACCTCAGTTACTGGCATGGATACTGGCAGAAGACATAACACTCCTGGGTCAGAGACAAACAAAAGAGTTTATTTATTACAGCCATCGCAGCAGCGAGAGTAAGAGCATTTTCTTGCAGCATTTCCCAAGTCCTAATTCCCACAGGACCACACAAAGGCCAAGTGACTCCTGCACATGCAGTGGGTTGCATTAAGGAGAAAGGGAAAAAGAAAGGGGAGCTTAGAAAATTCAGATCTTTATAGTGCACAGTAAAGTGTGCCTGCCGCTTGCTCTAAAGGCTGACACTATCTCTATCTCCCAGATTGCAAGAATACACCTGCACTTTGCTCCAGAGGAAGACCTGTTGCTATCTTCCAAGGCTGTCAGCTCTACAAACACGCTTGAAAAGATAGTCCAGGACAAAGGATTCAAGGTTTTAGCTTAAAAGTCATGCAGAAATTTAACAGATGTGAGTGATCTGCAACAATAGCTTCCAACAACTTCCACCCCTCATTTCGGCATCATCTTGGCTTCTGGTAATTTCCCTATGAATATACCACTCTGTCAGTCGCTGATTAATTGGACCAACAGAGGCTGGACCAAATCAGTTTGATTCGTCTCACAGCATTTAATTAATTTCATCCCCAGGATTTCAAGAAGCAGAATGAGCCCAACCTGCAAATCAAGCTCAGTCCTGCCACCCAGGGTCCTTGACCCAACAGGCTGGAAAAATCCCATAAACTGGCAAGATCTGCCTTAGAATGCCAAGTGGCTCTCTCAAGCATTGACCTTTCTACTTGCCCTGGTCATTAATCCAGGTACTGCAAGTGAATCAGACACTTCCCGGTCTCTGCCTTGGCCACGGGCAGGAAGTCTAGCCAAGTCTGTCATCTGCACCGACCCCGGCCAGCAAGCTGGTGCTGACCTGCATGCCTGTGGGGCTGAGGTGGTACCATTGATCACCCTGAAGTCAGGGACAAATTTTGCATCACCTTTTCTAATCAGGTGATGAGCTACCATCACTGGGATAACTGCCCACATCATGTGAGTGTACACATACATAACCACTCAGTTATTAGTCCAGAAAGCTCCCCTGAGTAGCTAAGACTAGCCTCATTTTAGCAAAATCTCCACAGTTGTCAGTGGGCTACAAGATGAGGGCACGCATGCCCATTAGAAGGTGTTACTTACAAACATTGGGGTCCCCATGTGGGACCTGAATCAGTTGGCACAGGTTGACACCTCCAGTGTGGCCCGTGCCCGCTGGTAGGCCTTCAGGTGCTCCATGTAGGTGGAACAATCGGGTCTAATCCTTGTATTTGGCAGGACTGCTGGAGGGCATCGGATCAATCTGTCCTGTTTGTCATGCCACTGACTGGGTGTCGTTTGGCTTCTCTGCAGAATGAGTGACCATCTGGGGGCTGGGGGCTGGGAAGACATCTGGCAGCACTGCAGGTGTTTTCCTGGGAGGTGCGGGAGCCGGGCTCGTTCCATGCATTCTCAGTAGGCTTCTGATAAGGTCAGTAAAAGTGGTGATCGAACTGTGGCCAAAGCTGTCCGGTCAGGAAGAGACAAACCCAGCAGCTCCGTTCAACACGCTCTCAAGTTCGGGAGCGCTGCAGCAGGGGGATTTTGTTCGTAAGAAAGTCTCCAGAGGCAGTTAGGAAAGACACAGATCATTAGTGATCAACGCGCCTCCCTGCCTGTCTCCGGGGATCTGAAGGGTTTCCTAGGGGCTGGAGCTGCGGCTCCCTCTACAAAGTTGGTACAGCTAAATTCCAATAGCTAATCCCCCCACCCCAGTTATCCCTTTCTCAAACCCAAACCTTTTGTTTGGAAGGGTCTGGTATAAGAGGAACAAGGACGTTTTTG